TCTATCACCAATTTACAATGTCATAATTCGCTAGATCGCCATTAAATATCTTTTGCTAGATCTTGCTTTTAGCTTCTGCTAAGAAGTTTTTATTTTTCATCCCACTGGGCTCATCCTTAAAATATAAACTCATATTTAACATTTTATTTTCCCATCTTTTTAGGTTTAAACTATTTTTTGTTGAAAGGGATGGTAAGTTTGCCATCCTTATTGTGAAACTCTACATTAATATTGAACTTTCATCTAGAGTTGATTGTTGAGTAAGAGTGCTGTTAATAATGCTTGTTTTTTGCTCTAACGTTTATCATTGATGGTATTTTCATCTTAACATTTGGCTGTAGAATTTTCTAGTACGCCCTGAATAGGTTGTTTGTTCTTTTGATCCTTTGGTTAGTCAAACCAATTTGCCGTGGGTATGTTTTTATCAATGTCAGTTTTTTTCTTCTTGTTCCATGTCAGATTACAAATCAAAGTCAGTTTTGATGTCCTTTAGTTGGTGATAGACAATCCTCTTTTCACCAACTCTTCAAAAGGTTATGGATATATAGTTGTATTATCTCTAGCTATATTCATCATGTATCTTTCGCCTCTTTTATGCTTGGCTGTCTCTTGAGTTTTTGTTTTAACTACTCATATTTGCTTATTTTTGTGCTGTCAGATGGACACTTGAATCACTTGGTTCACTAGAAGCTCGAAGAAGTGCTCTTGAAGATGACTTTGAGGAGGAGGAAGAGAAAGATGAAGATGATCAAATTGCAGAGGGATTAGATTCTGGAGGCAATGACAAGGTTCAGTAGTATATCCACATAATCAATCTGAATTCACTTTTCACTTGTGCTCTTCTTCTTCTTCTTTCTTCTTTCTTCTTCTTGATACTCAATAGATTTTGCACTACAGGATTATTACCGGGCACGAAGTCCAACTAGAGAAAAAGATCGAGAGAGAAAAAGAGATAGTCACAGATACCGGTATCTACTTTCTTATTGCGCATCAGTTTGCCTTTTCATGGTTCTTAAATTAAAATTTAATTATGTGCTGATTATGGCCTGCAATAACTTGTAACGACGATTTATCATTTTATTTTGTATGCATCATTATGTTGATCCCTTTTTAGCCTCTTATAATTCCATGCCAACTTCACAATTGACCTCAAATATGATTAAAAGGAAGGTCATGGTGAGATTGCATTCACAAGCAACCAAAAAGTTTATTTTACCCCTCAAGTATCTTTTACTCCATCCTGTTGGTAGGGTGAACTGGATGCTGTCTTTTAAAACATACACTCACACAAGTGTCGTCACATACTCGTGTTCTGATTTGCCTCACCATCATGGCATCTCAAGCCCTGAGTGGCTAACAACAGCATCCTAGATTAAAAACATACGGTGATCCTGCCAGGTTTCTCTGCACTGGCAGTGTGCAGCTGAGAAGTATGATGGATCACACAATTGTAGTGTTAACATTGGAATCTCTTTTCCTCCTTAATTAAAAAATTAAAAAAAAATAATTTAAAANGATCGTGACTATGACAGAGATTACGACAGGGATCGTGGGAGAGGACGGGAGAGAGAGAGAGATCGGCACCGGCTGACGAGAGAAGAGAAGGAATATAGGGAGAGACGGGAGAGAGATAGGCGGGACAGAAGGAGGAGCCTCTCAAGGAGCAGAAGCCGAAGTAGGGAGCGAAATCGTGAAGGAAGAAGGCACCTTGCCAGTGTGAGTCCTAAAAGGCGTGCTGAGGAGCCCAAGCAGAAGAAAGAGAAAAAGGGGAAGAAAGATGACGGGACAGATCATCCTGATCCTGAGATTGCTGAAGCAAACAGGCTTCGTGCTAGTCTCGGGCTTAAACCTCTCAGGGGTTAATGCAATCGGATGTTGTTTGTACCATCTTACTCGGTTATTGTGACCTAACTCTGAAATTTCATGGAAGATATATTCTCAAATGCTAGGATAACCCAGGCTTCTACAGTTCTACTGAAACATTGATGATTGATTTGTCCTTTTTCTGTTTCCCCCCCTTTTTTCATGTCAGAAGAAACACTAGCATTTTGTGTAAATTGAAGTTGTACCAATTTTCTGCGGTGGCTTTTTGCTTTATTTTTCTCGGTCTTTTTATGGTCAGTTGAGAGTAGAATCCTTGTTGCAAAGCTACTGTGGGTAATGCACTGATTTGTATACTTTTATGGAGCAATCTACTTATTGTATGTTAAATCACCAAATGACAGAATAAACGTGCCCTCTGCTGTGATATTAGATGTTGCTTTTCCCAGGAATTTCATAGATTGGAATATTGCGAAAAAAGGAAATCACATGACTCATGCTATATGGCGACAACCCAGATCAAGTGTGAAAAAACCTCCCATTATCTCGAGATCTTTAATTAACATAAAGTCATTGATTCTTCTTCACCTTGAACATACTAAGAGCATCTCCAATGCTATAAGTGTGAAAGACCATTATTTTTAACACATGTCAATTAGTAATTGTAATATTAATCCACATTGGAATAATGTTAAAAGAAATGCTATAAGTGTGAAAGACCATTATTTTTAACACATGTCAATTAGTAATTGTAATATTAATCCACATTGGAATAATGTTAAAAGACTAAGAATTTCAATGGAACTAGTATCTCCAATCCATCAATTTGATAAGAAGTTATTTGTATAGGTGGACCAATTAAATAATTCATTGATACAAAAAAAATAAAAAATAAAAACAAATATAAAGTAAATTGATGAGTCATCATGTTTAACATGGTGTTAGATATTATAAAGTGTGCTCAACATTGTCAACATTAAATGACATCCACCTCATCATGAAAGAGTTCATGACAAGATGCATTGGAGAAAAAAATAGAGACACACTTTCAAAAGTTGGTGATATGGATGACTTTTTATAATGTCAAAAGTTGCATTGGAGATGCTCTAAGAAAACTTGAATAAAAGTAAATATTTATTCTTCTTCACCTGGAGGAACATGTATCTTCAGGTAGAGAATGCCTTGTTTATCATAGTGAAGGACACCCGAGTCGTTCAACGGCCTGCACTTTTCTCCCATTAGTATCCTCTTCTTGCAAAGCTCTAAGGTCGAACTTAGCTCCTTCCGCTCCTCTTGTTTCTCCTTCACACACATCAGGCTCTGGTCTCAAAAATTGTGTTAATTTCTTTAGTTTTTTACTTTCTTGACCTGGGATCGGAGAGACTAGGTAACAAGGACATGCTTCGTTTCTTGGCATTTGCGGCATCCCTTGCGTGAATTTGGTCAATATATGGGTGAGTCTTGTTCAGTGCAACAGCTTGATGCTCCACCACCTCCTCCATTTTTTCGTGCTTCGTGTACAAACACTACAGATGATAGCACAAATCTTCTTTCATAGTAAATTTGGTCTATTTTTCATCTGATTCCAATATGCATGGCTTAGGTTCTGATTGTTGTGGTTCGTTTCTGGCATCACCTTGTTGACAATATGAATCTTGGTATGATACTATAGTACTATGTGTTGCAGTGAGAGTACACTGTGAGGAATAGTTGGAGATGGCCGACAATTTGGGTAAATTGGTTATAGAATTTTTGTTTTCCTTTATTTGGTGTTGCCCTCCTCTTTTTAGAAATCCCCTGGTTTCTTATTGTAGCATTTAGGTCTTGAATTGAGGAAAGATCTTTATATCCGAATTTTATTACCTTTCTCATTTAACAACTTTTTTCTTTATTATTAACTAGTACGAATCCAGTGCGATGCACGGATAAGAGATATTCATTAGTATTTATAAATTAAACATGATTATTAGATAATATTTATAAATTAAAAATATTGAATCAATATGTAATACATTTACCTATATTAATTTATTGAAAATGTTATATAAATTTTATATCGTGCAAAATTACATAAAACATGTCAATTTATTTAGTATACAACCTGTATGGTGCACGTAACTGATAATAAATTACTCAACAATTTATTTTTTTATTTTGATAGTTTATACAAAATTAAATTCATTTTAATTAATGAACACTATAAGTTTTATAATTGTACTTATTATTCACCTAGATATTTTATGGAATCACATTGTAGTCCAATCGAATTTTTGAATAAATATTTTAAAATGACACTTATTTTGAATAAATATAATTTCAGACCACCATTTGATAGTTAACCTATTTTCAGGTCTTGGATTGAAAAAAACTTCTATTTTTTTTATATATTTTGGTCGGTCGGTTCGGTTATTTCATTACTTTAAGAATAAAGCCGAAATTGAAATGAAATAACAAAAATTTTGAAAGTAAAATCGATAACCGAACCGACATATAAAAAAAATTGAACCAGAAATTTTATAGCAGTCGGTTTTGGTCGAACATTGCACACCCCTAACTGAGCTACAGGATGCACAATAACGACAAATAAAATGCACATTAGTTCTTATGAAAATGCACAATAGCGTAACAATGTACTTTTGATTTTTTCTGAGTGGTCACGGAACATAATGTTACGATAAGGTGCATTCCCAGTTCCTACATACACTAATGTGCATTTAGTCTAACATTATTATAACATTATTGTGCAGTCTGTAGAACGAGTATTATTTAGGCGCATTTCAATTTTAGAAAACTTTAATAATGTGTATTTCAATTAACATTATAGTGCATTACATTGAACATTATTATAATTGGACATTATAATGGACTAGATCAAAATGGCTCAATTAAATTTTAGTGCTTCTTCTATTAGTGAAGTTTCTAGAAAAAAGAAATATATCAAACGGCGCAATGCACCTTGGGTCGCTACGGAAACAACCTCCTTGTATAATTACAAGGGTAATGTCTGCGTACAACTGACCCCCCAGACCCTAACTTGTTGGGAATATAGTGGATATGTTGTTGTTGTTAAATTATAATTGAAGCCATTAAGTAAATTGCAGTATATTGAAATTTATGAAATTGCAATTAATCTCTTGAATTTATTAAAATTTTAGTATAAGCCGATAGCCCTAAACTAGGTCGGCCCTTGTTGCCGGCCGCTAACTGACTCTCCTAATCGGAAGCTCATCGTCTCAGCGTGCTCGGGTGCCGCCCCACAGAGCATAGAGTGTGCGGCGAAAGCGTCCGCTTTCTGCCACCCCAATCAGCTCCGAAACTTGGTCCTGGCCATGTCCACCTCCTGCATGCAACAAAGCCTTTCCCCACACCAATTCGCCCATCGAAGACTACGCTTTCGACGACCACATCCGCCTCTGCCGACCATTTCGTCGGATTCCGTCTCCTACGCTGCCCTGAAAAAAAAATATCCCCCATCTGCAAACCCTAACTTCGAAAGGGGTGCTGCCGATTTGTAGGCACAAATGTAGGAGGAAGCCAACTTTGACGTAGATAAGGAATCCATACTCTCTTGACAACGACAGTGGTCGGATTGGCAGCGACAGGACAGTGTTGGCTAGAGCTGGGAGGGAGACACAGTGGAAACGAGTGAGAGGGGAGGAGAGAGAGGTGGCGGTGTTGGGGTGGGGCCCCCGGGTGAGTGGTTGTGGAGTGGGCGAGGTGTTGGGGTGGGGCACATGGGTTGAGTGGGAAAATAACCTCCTTAGAGCATCTACAATGTATTGAGTCTAGTCTTGTCTATGTGGCATGTAAATAAACTCAAGTCTTGAATGACATGGATAAAACTATGTAAAATTAACAAAATTGACTCCAATGCAAATAGACTATGTCTCTACTTGGGTCTAGAATAGACTTAAGGGAAGACCGAGTCTCTTTTTCTAGCTGCTACATTAGCAGGACCCAGTCTACTTTTATTTGCACTGGATAATATATTTTTTTAGACTGAGTTTATTTCTTAGGTGATATAAATTTTTTGGGATTGAACCCAAAGTATTGTGGATGCTCTTAATAGTTANAATTTAATGATTAAAATGTATTCTTATTTATTTGATTGAACAACGTTCTCATCAAAGCACATATATGGGGTAAATTGTGATTTTTATGAAGTTTTTGTGGAAGATTGTAAGAAAAAAATAAAAAAATTATATGGTTAATTGTAATTTTTGTGAATGTTTGGCTGGAAAAAAATTATTTAACCTTGTGAATATAAAACGTGTGGTTTTTAGCATTTGTCTGCGATAATTTGCAGCTGTTTTCTTAAACCCTCAGTTCTGAGTGACGGCCTCCCTTTTAAACCCTCGTCGCATCTTCAGTCCATCTTTCTATCATTTTCCACCAAGATGGGTTCCGTCGCTCCTAAACTCTGTAAACTCCTTCGACTGCGCTCTGCATCCACGCCCTACACCAGTAAGCCTATCAACCCTTTCATATTCGATTCGACATTTTTCATCTTTTATGATTCAACAAGCGCTTTTTAAAAAAAAAAAAATAAATAAATCTCGCTGAGGTCGTTTTAACGGGTTTTCTAGGTAGATCGAAATGTTCTTTTTCAATACGGCTTGTGCATTTCTATTAATCTGTAGAGCTATATTTTTTCCGTCTGTTTTAGGTGAATTTTAGTGATTCTTGACGGGCATCACTTCTAACTGCTAAAGGGGTTTTACTTCTGTTTTTTCTTTAATTTTTAACTGGAAGAAATTAATATTTTCAATTTTGTATATATATGTATAATATACATTATCTGATATGAAACTTTACAGTGATGGGTCTTCAAGGGACTTCAAAGGTCTTTTTCTCGACTGGTTCATCAATCTCGGGTGATGACAACGCCAATGTGGGAACTGGACCTCATCTGAAAATTGATGATGATGATTTTCTTCCTGAGAGGCCTGAGTTACAACTCCAAGGAGTCGACCCCAAAAAGGGCTGGAACTTTCGTGGTGTACACAGGGTATGAGATTCTCTTCCTTGGAGAAATTTGAAAAGATACTTTATTGCCATAAAATTTCCATTTTTATGTAACTATTAATTTCGGTCACTATAGTTTGAGATATCAGTTCTTGTTACGGCTGTCTTGTTCTGATCCAAATTTTGTTTGTGGGTGGCGACTGGTGATATGAATACTTGAGCACTTTATGACAGAGTTGGAAAATTATCCTGTAAATTCACGTTTGGACACATCCAGTATTGTGGAATTTGGATTTTATCATGTATCAATGCTTATAATTCTTTGTTTGTCGGGTCAAATGTTAATCCTTTTCTTTTTTTATGGTTATTGTTTCAATGTTGTTTATATCGGCTATGTTTGAACTCTTGTTTTTTGCTTTTGGTTCTTTCCATATATTTTCACATTTTTTTGTTCCTATCTTTTGTCCAGGCTATTTTATGTGGAAGAGTCGGTCAAGCCCCTGTTCAGAAGATCTTGAGAAATGGTAAAACCGTGACGACATTTACAGTAGGGACTGGAGGAATGACTGACCAGAGGACTTTGGGTTCAAATGACTTGCCAAAACCGGCTCAGTGGCATCGGATTGCGGTTCATAACCCTATGCTTGGAGCATATGCCGTTCAGCAGCTTGTGAAAAAGTAGGATTGATTTGATTATTTAAAGTTATTGAGATTTTTCTATTATTTGAAGCTCTGTCTAGTAACATGGAGTTTTTTTTTCAGCTCATCGGTTTATGTTGAGGGAGACATTGAGACGAGAGTCTATAATGACAGCATTAATGGAGAAATAAAAAGCATACCCGAGATTTGTGTGCGTCGTGATGGTATGCAAAATTAATATTTTATTCCCATACGTGTCTGGTGTGAGTTGAATTAATCGTGATATACTGTTCTTAGCCGTAAGAAAATTAATAGATGTTAGTTAATATTCTTTGGTGTTTCTGTTAGTTCTTGTCGATAATTGTGTTTCTGTTCATTTAAGTTAGACTGCATCTAACTCTTTACACAAACAAGATGAAAATGTACTGCTGCTAAATTGATTATTAGTGTTGTTTATTTGTTTGTTGTTCTTTTTTATGTTCTTACATCTTCTGCAGTTTCTTTCAGATATCAGCTGGTATCACCTTAAGTGTGTGGTTCCATGCAGAATACGGAATAAAAACAAATAATTCATAATTACATATGTGATTTGTCATTTGGAGCTGGTTATCTAATAAAATTCAAGCAATTCTTTTTTGTGCTAGAAGCAATTATTTAACATTTCGAAAAGTCTATGTACTCATTTATTTAATTATTCCAAGATCATGTGCATGCTTCAGTTTCTTCAGTACTACTGAAGCTGACTTTTATGTTTTAGCCATGAGAACTTAAGAGTATTAGATATCTTAGTGGAACCTGTAAAGAAGAAAAGTTAACTCTGTTGATAACTTTTAAATTTAGTGGGATTAGGTTAGGGCTCTAAGTAAAACTAATGATATGAAATTGAAATTGAAACAAGAATGAATGATAATATGATATGCAAATTGTTTCTAAAATGTTATCAATGGGACTAATGTGAATTCTTGCGAGCATATAAAATGCAATTTTGGTTTAAAAATGTTGGTGGTCAGTAATAATACATTTAAAAGATAGGCAGATGAAAGTTTCGCAGTAATGGTTCTGTGCTTTCTATATCTAGTTTGACTTCTGGTCAATAGTTTTTTCTTGGGCTGATATATTTTTGTTAATTGACTAGAGGGACCCTTAGCACTTAGCAGTTTTCTTATTTAGCTTATTCCGTTATTTGAATAGTCGTCCAGAAATGAATATCTGTGGAAAAATGGGGCTGTTGAATGAATTTTCACCCCAGAAAATTTATCAAAGAACTTGATGCAAAATCAAAAATAAATAATTTTTAAACCATAAGTTTTCCTACAGGGTAGTGTAACACTCCCTGGTTCTAAAATTCTTGTACTTTTACCTTTGTTTTGTTTAGAATATTCTTGTAATCTTATGTTTTCAATGCTTGTTAGTACTTCTATGCACTATTATATCATCTTGAGAATTTAAATGAACAAGACGGTTGTATTGAATACACAAAACCCAGGAAATAGAAAAGGAATCTCTTTTTATACTTCTCCTGAATTCATGTGAAAAAACCTAAGACTACTATTATTTTGCTCTGTGCCCTACTTAAATTTCAATTGCTTGAGGACTATGATTCATGAATTTAGTTCCAATTTCTGATGGAATCTCATAAAAGATGGTGGTTAGTAGGTTACTGCAGTGAATCATTTTGTCTAGCTCGGATTCTTATGAGGTTGCAAGTTAGTTTTGTAATTGTTTGCCCATTTTCCTTGTTTAATCTCATTGTGGTCCAATGCTATGCTTCTGCAGGAAGGGTTCGGCTTATTAAGTCAGGTGAAAGTATGAGCAGTTTCTCCATTGATGAGCTACGTAAGTTTTCTATACTTGGGTGATGCTTGTTCACTTCTCTAAATTATATTAATTCAGGGCTGTTGTTACTTTTCAATAAAAATGCATACTTGCATCGTAAAATGTTATATGTACGAACGACAATATAGCATTTGAAGTATAACTGTATAAGCATGCATATATCCAAAGTGCTTTCCTTTCACTGTGAAGCATTAGTTATTTTCTTTTAAACTATTTTGAATTTTGACCTACTGCATGCAGGTGAGGGATTATTGTGATGGATTTCTGGTAGAGCATTTTGCACTAATATGGCTTAGGGCATGGGTTTAAGAGGCTGAAACTGAAAGTATTTCATATTTATATTGAGCTCTTTGGTTCAATTGTAGTTTCACCATGGTCAGAAATATTAACTAACAGAGACCTTGCTTTGTATATTATTCTGTTTGGTTCACTCATGTCTTATCGATTCCAATTTATTTGCCTTTTTCTATAGAAATGTTAGCTTTTTTTTGTGTTTTTTATTAGTACTATCATTCCATTTTATTGTCATTTCATTTTTATTGGCAATAGAATGACTAAATATAATTTTATCTACTATATAATTAAGCAAATTAGAAGTTATTTTTTCATGCGTCCCATTAATTATAATTTTAGATAGAAAGTTTTCTCAATAAATAAGGCAGTGCAATGTTCTACTCTGAAGATGCGAACAATATTGCGTTATATGTAGAGCTGCAAACGAGTTGAGCTGAGTTGAGCATTGATCTTATCGAGCATGATTGATTTTTTTTATAGTTGCTGGAGCTCGATTTTTGAGGCTCAAGCTCGACTCAGTAAAAAATTACAATAGCTGGAGCTCTGATCGAGCTTGACTCGAAATCAAAATGCTCGAGCTCGACTCGAAAATTTTTAAGTGAAAAAGTAAAATTACTATTAAGCACCTATGATAATATATATAAGGGGTATTTTAGTAACTTTACATATATTTCCAGCCGCTCGACAATACTGTTGACGGGCGTTTCCGGTCAACGGTTAAAAAGGTAAATAATGGAAAGGAAATAAGGAAAAGACAAGGAAATACGGTTTAATTGCGGTTTTATTAAAAGATCACGAGGTCGGCCTCTCGTACGAGGTCGGCACTTGCGATATCCTTAAAATTTATTACACGAGTTTCTTACAAGTCTAGAGAGAGAAAATATAGAAAAAGCTCTTTACAGTTGAGATTCAACAACCCAAAATAAATGAAGTGGGCTGCTATTTATTGTTGCCTTAAATGTGGCACTGTTCAGGTACTGTTCATCGGTCTTGTCGTACAGTGTTTCTTGCAGAGTAGTTCGGCGCCTCCCTGACAGAATTTAATGCGATTTGAGGTTTTCTTCATCATTGTCTGACTTGCATTTAATGCTGGCAGGCTTTATGTCTTGGCTAGGGGAGGTAGGTCAACAGGCTAGGATGTCCCATCCATAAGCCAATGATTACCCTCCAAGTGGCCTTATTATACTATTATCGAGATCGGCACCTTCATTTCAGGGACCCGTCCTGAGACTCCAGACTGGCACCTTTTCTTTACCTGCTCCTCCCTTCCCGGGGAGCCTAGCTTTCAACCCGTCGCTCATCAGGTCGGCACCGGGGCTTCATAGCGTCGAACGCCGGGCTGGCGGACGGACTCACGGGAACGTCTGGGTCAAAAAACATTCCGGTCCGCATCGGCACTTTCTGAGTGGGTCCGGCTCTCGAACTCGGGTGTCAACAAATACAAAATATGGGCTCGAGCGTTCGTGAGCTGTTCGGTTCGTTTGCAGCTCTAGTTACATGTAGCGTGATACTATTCATCACGCTACAGTTTTTTCTTTAAAATTTAATTTTTATTTGATTTTTATATCTAAATATTATTTTGATAAAATATACATTAATAAAATTATTCATTTTGTCAAATAATTTTAAATTTTGATTTTTAAAGTTGTACTTCAATTTTATTTTCTACTAATATATTTCATGTAGAATAAAATGTAGAGCCAACGATTGGAGACAAAAGTTAAATTTTAGTAATATCTACTTTAAAGTAGAGTAAACTCTACACTAGAGCAGAGTAGATAATTGAAGATGGTCTAAATATGTGGTTTTTTTATCTATGTAAACAAAGAAGGCAATTTTCTGTTTGAAGACGCTTCTTGGTAGATTAACAACATTGCAATAGCTGCAACTCAACACATAAAAAACCCAAAATGGGGGTAAACTCTTTCCTATTTCATATTTTATGTATTTTTTTGTACAGTGCCAAAATTACAAGAAAGCGTGGATTAAAAAAATAAAAAAAATAAAGAAAATACTGAAACTCATTATGAACACCACATCATTCTCAAATATACAAAAGAAATCTAAAGTCCTCACTGCATTTTGGAGGGGGAGAAAACAAAGAATAAGAGAACACGGTGACCAAAACTATTGCCTGTTTCTTTGGTAAATAATGCCAAAAAAAATTTCACCAATTGAAGNNCAAAACTGCGTCACCCCTAGGCAAGAATTTACTCTGGTGTACATATAAGATATTCCCACATTAATGAAGCAAGCTCTTACTTCCCACCGGCCGCCGGTTTGCGTTTTCCATCAACAGGAGCTGCCTGCCATCCGTTTTTTTGCAATGGCGAACGAGCCCCATTCGAAATTCTCCTACTTGGCGGTGGAGGTATCAGGCTCCTAAATGATGAAAATAAAGTTTGCACACGTTAAACGGTTAAAGATTTGTTCTCACACGATACCAAGCATAAAAAAATCATGTGCATGCATTACTACAACTTCAGTAGCAGCAAGTTTTGAAATGTAAGCAGAGAGTCCACTTGTATCATATTCTTGCAAGCTCCAAACAAAATGCATGAGAATTTAAGCCTCATATGCTTCAAACTAAAATGAAAATAATATAATGCAATGAGAACAACTATTCCTTAGTTACCTTCTTTCTGGAGAACTAATCTGTTTTGGACTGGGCTTTCTGAGTTTTGATCCCAGCCCATTAGGCACACGGTTGGGTTTAGAAAGACCTAGTGGCCATTGGTAATCCAGCTCTGAAGTGTCACTAGTTGCATTTTCGAGGTCATCCATATCATCTGCGACAGCTGTCTCATTTTGGGTCTCATTCAACGTGTTTGGAGAATGTTGAGGGTACACCTTGGAAGTAGGGCTCTTGTCATCATAGGACATAACATTGTCGACCCAGTCGCTGGGGATGCATTTTTCTTCTTCGTCAAACGAGTCACTTTGCATTCTTGATGTTGCTGAAGAGTGACTTAGTCTCTGCATCCAAGCACACATGCATAAAACAATAATAATAATAATAATAATAATAATAATAATAATAATAATAATAATACATAAGTTACAATTTCAATCTCCATTCTAGCTTAGTCAATTATTTGGAATAATTTGGATATAGAAGTTGGTAAAATTTCTTTGATGAAAGGATTTTGACAATCGAAAAGAATAATACCGAGTCTGGTAAAAGTATTATATATGTACATGTGTTTGTGTGTGCGCGCTGTTGGTTCATTTCCATACCTCTACCTTACTGACATCTCCATTACTTTGCCAAGACGAATCTGATGGAGATGACCCAAAAGATCTAATCAATACTCTGTCTGGGCTTATAGATCCAGATTGCTTAGATCCTAATTCGCCTCTTCCTTTTTGTGTTAAAGCTGCTTTAAGGTTGGCTACCTGCATGTAATAGGCCAACAACAGTCATTCCCCCCCCAAAAAAATAGGAAAATGTAAGGAAACACGTTAAATGGTAAACCAGAACATATCTACAGTCATAGAATACCTGTTCCTTCAGTTCTTTGATATCCGGGCTCTCTTTGTTGGCTCGGGCAGCACCAAGCTCAACAGTCGAAACACGTTCAGCGAACTTAAGAGTACTAATTGTCTCGCTAAGAGCATCAGGCTCTGGGCTGATGTGGACGAACATTAAAGTCTTTGCTTGACCACCTTCACGCACAGAGGATTGTGATAAGAGAGAAAAACATTTATCTTAGACAAAACGACAAAAAGTAACTTCATACATCTCTCTCTCTCTCTCTCTCTCTCTCTCTCTCTGTGGGTGTGTGTGTGTGTATTACCTAGTGAATCTTGAAGCAACTGGGTGAGCTTACTGTTCCTATAAGGAACATGTGTTCTCTTTTGCGCAAGAGCGGATATCACATCTCCCAAGGCAGATAGGGACCGATTAATATGTTGAGCCTCCTTTAGTCTACAGCCAACCGCCTCTGACTTGTCGGCTCTTTCACTTCCCGCCAGGTCAACAAGGTGCATGCAACCACGGATTGTTGAACTCGATGTCAAAGCTCTTCCTTGAACATGAACAGTCACGCAACTGTGCATATAGTAATTCAAATTTTTACTATAATTGTCTCCACTAAATTATGTAATATGAAAAGGGATCCAAACATACATCCAACTGAAAAATGGTTTTAAGTTTAAAATGTGTTACTTTTCTCTGATAGACTTAGGCAAATGGAAAAAACATTAAAAAAACAAAAGAGTGGGTAACTATTTTACTTACCTGTGAGAACGACTGCTTCGGTCATTCATAGCAGTGGAACCCACTGCACGATTCTTGTGTCCAATGTTCATCAAACTGATGACCTCAGATGTTGATGACACTGGTACAAGGTTTGCATTGGGTACATTGATGCCATCTGGGGAATTGTTACGGATTTCTAATGTGTTTCAGAGTTAAGGCAAAAACCATGAAATGAAAACTAAATAGCATAAATGGTAAAAAGCCCAAAGGATATTTTTTATTGACACCATCAGTGACAAGGAGGTCCCTCACTTGCTCATTGTAAATTTCAATCATCTGAACGGAAACATCATAGTACATGCTGTCTTTTCTTTGCTCTGAGATGAGAAACAAATCACTAAGCGCCCTGTAATTTACGCCTAAGCTTTCCTTTGTGAGTTCTTTTGGTCCTGTCTGTTAGATTACAGGGTAGAAATTAGATACTTAGTGAGGCTACAATACACCAAAAGGAACAGTTTTTGAAGACAACTCTGATTTTTTTTTTCTTTTTTTTTTTTGAAAAAATTCTATACGCAGAAAAAAAAAATCCACGAAATAAAGGAATGTTTTGCAAATTTGGAAAGATAAAACACTCACCATTGTGTACGTTTTCCCTGATCCAGTTTGACCATAGGCAAATATGCATACATTATACCCATCAAGGACAGAACGAATCAATGGCTGGGTGTCTGAAAATACTTCTTCTGCAGAAATGAAATGGAACAAAGGACAAAGAACTCCTGCTTATTAATTTGCTTCTCAAGAAAGTTAGTTGTGAAAAGATACTATTTGAAACTTCCATTACCTTGGCTTGCAGATGGACCAAAAACCCTGTTAAAAGAGAATGACTTCTTCCCTTTTCCATGTTTAGCAGGAGTGAGTATTGTGAGAGTTTTTTCATCTACAACTTCCACTGCGCTCAAAAAAGATGGCTGCCCAGGCAAAAAGGGCCGTATGCGGCAATATACCCTTATATTTCCTATCAATTATGCATGAGACGACATCATCAGAACATAAAACAAATTTTTCTCACTTCAATTATGCATGAAAACCAAAAGATTTTTTTTCTGTTTTAACCTTTGAGGTCTTGTACTTGATTGTATAGTTTGCGGTTCTCCTCTAGTACCTTTTGGTATCCAGAAGCTGCATGAGCCAGACTTTTGAGATGTTTACCTATCAACAAAACAAAACTCAGTTCGCATTCCCTGATTGTTCCCTGTAAAAAACATGAATCACAAGTAAAACCCATACCAAGATTCTTAACTTCTTCTCCATAATTAATCCTTAGCATTTTCATGTGTTCTCTTGTGGAATCAAGAGAATTTTTTAATTCCTACATAAATGACATAAATGTTCCTGTCAACTTCAAATTGTAGATGTGATGTGTGTTTTAATTTACTGCTAATCACGAACATGGACCAGACCTGTATGCTTCTTTGCTGGTGTTCGACCAAGTTTTTGTGCTTCATAGCGCGTTCTTTCATTTCAATATTGTCAGACCAACCCTCCTCATTTATTATGTTTGACACCTTACATTAGAACAGAGAGTCAACTCCAAATTGTAGATAAAATATCTCCTTTCTACAGTTAATCACTAATGTGAATGGGAACCTGTATGCTAGTTTGCTGGTGTTCAACCAAGTCCTGGTCCTTCATAGCTTGTCCATCCAATTCATGATTGCCAGACAAACACTGCTCTTTCATCACACTAAGAGATTCCTCATTGCCTGACACAGACTGCTCTTTCATCTCGACTGGGACCTTATTTAAGAACAGAAAAAGTAAATTTTATGTACTTGAAGATCTGTAAACATCATTAAATTTTCAGATCCTAATCCGACCTCAGTCACTGGATAATCTCTAAGCTCGCTGGGACTTGGAAAACCTGCATCTCTTGGGGTTGGTCTGGCCTGTAATAACCAAAACAAAAAAAGGTAAAGAACTTCATTCATAATTTGGTTTCTATTTTATTAGATCCTTCCTTTTTTTTTACTTAAATTGCAATATTTTTAGAAACACGTTGCGAAAGTAATGAAAACTCACAGACCAGGGAAGAAATTTCTAATTTGGAAAACAAAATGAATATAGCTTGAATACCTTTTCATTTTGGCTGGCCAACCGATGCTCAAACTCTTCCATGACTTTACTTAACATATTCTCCACAATCTTAAAAAAAAAAAAAAAAAAAAAAAAAAAAAAAATGCTTCGAGTTATCCCGTAGTAGAAGAATGTATATAGGCAAATAGACTAGAGACCATCTTGATCTAAGAAAGTCATAAAACTGCAGCTTTAGTAAATGCTGGTAGTTTTCATACTTCTGTAGACTGATGATGCTCGAACATTCTGAAACTATACTTGTCAATGCCTTTGAAGCAAAATCAAAAAGAAAAAAATAAAAACACAAATGTCTTATTAGTGGAGGTTTCGTGAATATAAGATTCACAGCAAACTTCACTCATTTAAACTCATTTCTAATTAGTACAAAACACCACTCACCATTGGGATATCTTCTTGCTTTTTGTCTGAGAGAATTTCACGAATAAGCATGTGTAAGGAACGAGAGCTACCCTGTAAATTTGAAGGGTGAAGGTATCACTATATAGTCCAACTTTTAACTTTTTGTTGTTTGCAAAATAGTTATGGTGGTTAGAATTAAGGAGCAGCAAGTATCGTACCATCTCATTAATGTCTTGCCTAGCATCACAAATAGAGTTATGCTCATTTTCCAAGCTATCAACAGACTTGTCATCAAATGTTGATAAGTTCCTCGACAGCGAATTAATAAAGAGATCAGAGTTTCTCCTGACAAATTGCTTGTTAATAGCTGAAGGGGGCTTAATGTTTCCACTGAATTTCCACACTCCTTTCCCGCCTCCTTCTTTCCATTCATTGTACAATCTCAGTGCCAGCACACAGTTCACGATTCTTGAAGACTTGCCTCCCTAATTAATATCATTGTCCGAACCTTTTTATCAGACAAGAACTGAAAGGCATTTTAACAAAGTACAAACGATTGAACAAAATCAATACCTGCTCCAAATCAGAGGCTTCAAAGCCAGGTATCCCCATTTCCTCTAAAGAATCAAGAAAATTCCTCACATTCTCAAAGTATTGGAATGCAGATCGAGCGGCCCCGTCTGGGATGATTATGGTATCGGGAGGCGCCTCGACTACCTAAGGAAAAAGTTAGCCAACAAAAACCTACTGAAAATCCCTTGTCAAGTGAAATTACAAAATGGATATCCAGATGAAGAGGGAAAAATAAACAAATATATCGAAGATGATAAAGCCTACTTTTGGCACTGCACCAGGTTGAACCTTATTAAGTACATTACACAGTATAATCCCACTTCGCAAGCCCAGCCTAAATTCCTCTTCAGATGGCTGTGCAGGCAAATCTTTTCCTACAACAACTCCCACCATCTTTCTCAACCATCCAGCAGCGTCATATCTTCTCAACGCTGCAAAAAGCGAAGAACACATTAAAAAAGGGGAAAAAACAAAAAGGAAAATATTCAAATCATAATTATATCCATATCATAACTACTTCCGAAAACAATCAAATCTCACATACGCTGTTAAGCACCACGATCGAACGATAGAAAAACACAAACTAAAAAGACGGCCCCAAATATGCATAAAAATTCCGCAGATAGTAAAAATTGCGAAGAGCTAATGAAGAATAACAAAGATTCAACAGAGAGGATAATTTTTAGCGAGATTAACGTACATGCTTCCTCTGCTTTCCTGGAGGCCAAATCAATGTCGCTCAACCTCTTGCCTGGTTGCTGAAGAACATCCACCATCACCGACGTCACGTCCAATTGCGGCGAACCCTCCGCCATTGCCAAACCTTTTCTTCGATCAGAATTCAGAACAAAAAAAAAAGAAAAAAAAAATCGGCAAGATGATATATTAAAATGCGCGCATTACCGCACATGTATTTAATATCCGCGAGCTACATGTGTTTATTGCACGGGGAATGTATGTATGTGTTTTTGCACCTGTGACTGTTAATACACGGTTTGAAAAGAGCTTGATTTTCTTGGAAGATTAAAGAAAAGGCAGAGAAAATGGTGGGGAAGTTGTGGGAAAGAAAGAAGAACAAAGGTTTGATGGAATTTTGAGATGTGACGAAAACCGCCCGGGAAAAATGAGATGATATGGGAAAATGGGTTCCGTTATTTGATCACTACACTTCAATTCTTTTTATTTTTTCTCTTTCTTCGCCCGCCTTTTCATATCATTTTTCATTTATTAAATTTGTGATGTCTTTACAAAGCTCTGAGAGAGCCGAAAGGCACGGTATGCTGATGGTTATTTAATATAAATGCATGCAGGTATAAAATATCTAAAAATGTCGCAAAGTTTTTGAATTTATTATTGAAGCACTTGTTTTGGCAATAAAATGCAGTGTTTTCAAGCTGGCAATAAAATGCAGTGTTTTAAAGCGTATTTTGGTCTTTGTACTGTATAATGTAAATATTATTGCGTGTAGCGTAAGCTATTTGAGTATAAAAATAATATTATTACGTGTAGCGTAAGTTATTTGAGTATAAAAATTAATTTTATAAGAATATTATATTGCATATGATAAACTGAACAGTTGATTCCAAAAATTCCCATAGTATTTGAATTAATTCAAAAATAATATTTAATAATTATTTCTACCAAATGCTTAATGTGAATATTTTAACATGAGTATTTAAATATTTCATATTTCAATAATAAAGCGAATATGCTGAAAAATAAAAGCATAAACAACTAAAATATAATAAGGTAAGTCATAGTTTAATTTTAAGTAAGTATATTTTAATTAATTTTTAAATTTGGCTACAACTTAATTCTAATCACTAGATCTGAATTTTTTTATTGTTTAATTTAAATGTCAAATATCAAAAAATAAAATGATATAATAGAACCATACCAATAAATATTACACTATTCAACTTAGGACTTTGCATTTTCAAAATTGTAATTTGAAATCATTATCAATTTTTTTACTTTTTAGTTGTCATTTGAAAATATGACTACTCTCTAAAAAATACATGTTTTTTTAAATTTTATTGTTTTAATGTTGTTGCAGAAATATAACGTAAAATAGCGTGAAATAGCATAAGATAGCATAAAAAATCATGTCATTTCAACATTTCGCATAAGATTTTCAAGAAAAACGCTAAAAAATATATAATCTTCATCGCGTTTTTTTTTTTTAAAAAAAAACAATATAGCGAGCTATTTAAAACAATGATAAAATGTAAGGTCTAAATGTATTCATTCATAGATTCCTCAAGACATTTTGAGATTTTAAAGAATCTGATTTATTTAACTTGGAATTTTTATTACTTTTAACAGTATTGAAGTATTCATTTAAAGTTTTAAAAATACTTAGCAAATCTTAATTTATTTAATTTATTTGACACTTGAATTTGCTAGTACTTTTTAAATTTTGCTAAGATTTAATAAACAAAAATCATGTATGAAATCATACCCTAAATCCCACCTTGAAAGCTAACATTTTCAAGTATTCACCTTACAAAAGTGTATTCATTTTGGATTTCAATAGACATTTTAAGATTTTTTAAGGTTTGAGACTTTTTACGATTTTGTGATTCTAGAAGAATACTTGGAAATCTTAAGTATGGAGATGAGGCGGTGTCTGGAAGGAGAATTTATGGTGATCTTCATATAAGATTTTTTGTTTATCAAAAGCAAATCTTAAGTTTTTTTTAATAAATCTCATTCTCAAAAAAACTCGTGATTTGTTAAAAAATTTTAAAATCTTAAATGAATATCTCAAAACATTTAAAAGTCTTAAAAAGTCCAAACTAAATACGAGAGAAAAAGAAGGCACAGGGGAGAAAGCCCTCCGATCCTTCACCCCGACTGCCACCACCAGGCAGCCAGAGCCAAAACCACTCCCTAAAATAACACCACTGCTCGCCACCTCCACGACACAAGGAAGCCGATGGCCCACCTCTCAGGACGACACCAGGCAAACGACAAGATCCACCTGGGACGACCATCCTCTTCCAGTGCCACAAAAGACAGACACCGGCACGAATTTGGGGGGTGAGCCGAGCAGTCCGAAGCCGGCCGCCGTCAAGGACCCAACGGCCAGCTGGGGAAGGCTCGTAGGTCCGAAATTAGGGAAAAGAGGGGAAAAATCGAAGAGATAGAAAAAATGATCCACCCTATTTTGTTAAAAATTCTAACATATATCAATTGAATTATAACTGTTTTATTTAGCCAATCAAAGTAATAAAAATGATGACAAAGAATGGTCTCGTTGAAGATAAGAACACAAAATCGTAAACAGTCACATGCAATTATTTTTGTAAAAGATTTCAATTTATTTTTACTGTGCATATTTTTCAATATTTCCAAAACAAAAAGGATATGGAATATAGAAGGCTAACTTAGATAATGAAGGATTTTCAACCAAAAATTTCATGCAATTCTTTTTCACCATGACTTTTAAATATTATTATTTTAAAAATTGTATTTCAGCTTTCAATATATTTGACACTGCCTATTATGTAATGTACTTCTTGTGTTTAACTAATAAAAATAATAATGCGAAAAAATGAATAGACCATAACAATATAAAGAAAAAGCACAATTTAAAATCATATTAATATATAAATTATGTATCACGTGCACTTTACTAGTAACAAAAAACGGGTGTGAACCAGTATAAGTGCCTAAGAAAATATTCTTCAAAAAGCTGCAAATGTATGTTGTTTCCTTCGTTTTTGTGCATTGTGACATTGTCACTCTTAAGCAGAACCGCATTTGTTTTGTTGCACTGCGTAATATTGTCAAGGCTTTTAGGATTGATTAAAGAATGATAAGACCACAACATGGAAAGGTCACGAGAGACCACCGAAACAATACAGACATCAAATGCATGATGATGAAAAAGTTGATCTCCAAAAATTTGGTATACTGTCCTCTGTGAGGAAAGAAGGAGATCACTAAAATTTACAAAATACGNATGAGTCTAGTATTATGAAGCCCCGTGAAAGCGGATTTTGTAATTCAAACAGCTGGAAAGAAACATATATGGCACACAATGATCCAAAAAAAGCTAAGGTTAAAAAAAAAATACGATTAAGGCATAGACTCATCAATATTCAAATTTCAACTAAAAACTTTTGTTTGGAAAATATTGACCTATCACATGGTTCCTAACTTGTCTATAATTTGATCAGTCACTTATCACTTTATCCATAAACTTCAAAATGTTCATTCCATCTTGGAACAGAAGCCAGACATTTCATATGGCACATGTAATTAAGAGGAAGATAAGAGGGTGAGTTGTTTTAAAAGCAAAAGGTCTTCCAACATAATATCTGAATTAATCTAGAAAAGCTATGTTTAGGATTACTTCACATAACTTAATCTTTTTGGGTGGACTGCTAAACCTCCAAAGAATGCCAATACAGTCCTTGAATGACACACCTTATAGAGTGAATCGATTGTTTGTTGTATAATATTATTTAGAACATGTGTAATTATACCATTGGCACCATAATATTTTTTTTGTCAGCTTGGACAATCAAATTTTTGTGATTATACTTGAGGGTTGGTATTAAGGCTAAATGACACTAATTGGGGAGAAGTTCCAATTTTATGTAGAGATTGAAAATTTTAATTTGTTCTGAAATCTGTCCAAAACATACAAAATAGTGGTGTGCAGGTTTTCATGTGTTTTCTGTAAAGAAAAAATAATGATAGTAAGTTGGAAGGTGCGTGTAATTTGAATTTTTATCACCATCTCTCACCACTATTTTACCGATATATTCAAAAAATTATGTGTGGCATTCATTATTCTAATTTGACCTGCATTTACCCATACTTCACATGCACGTGATTCTCCCTCCAATTATGGATAGCTAATCGCTTCCTAAAGTAACATATTCAACATATTCTCAGTACTCTTCTCGGTTAGAAGGTTTGGAACAGGAAGAGAATGGTTTTTGGAATGATTTCGTGGTTACAGTGAATGGTAATGATCCGAGTCATCCATCAATTCGGGCCAGCTCAACTCCTAATATTGTCTCTAAAGGTACTCAATCAAGTTAATCGACCTCAATGTCCACTAAAACCAAAGAATTGAAGCGCAAAAAGGGACAATCTTGTGGATCTGTAATGATTAAACATCACTTAGATCAAGTAAATAAATTTCATTCTAATGTTCTTGGATTGCTGAAACATGGTACGCCCAAAGATAGTGAGAATTCAAATGGAGCAAGTGTACAATCAGTAATGGATACTATGAACGGTTTGGCAACTAATGGTGGGATGGATGAGGGTGGTGAACTATGGTGCCATTCGATTTGTGTGCTTCGGGATTCCGTGAATAGAGAAATGTTTCTAAAGATGGACAATGATGGTGCTAGGCTTTCTTAGTTGAAGTTTATGCATGCCAAGAACATTTTTTAAATTTAGAAATAGTCATTCGTACTGGTGAATTGGTTTTATTTTATCTATGCTTCTAGTTTTATTACCAATATAATTTTTTAGACATTTTATAGCTTATGTGTTTTTTGGACACTTTATGTGAATTTAGCATTATTAATTTTATTTGGCTATTCTCTTGTTTGGGATTCTTATATTAATGAAAATGTTTCTTTACTTTATGATTAATAGGTACACTATGGACAATGATCAAAGGAAGAATATTATTTTATTATTGGAATTGGGTAGTATGCAAACAAGTATAGATATTGTATGAAAAATATTCGCAATGATATTGCAGAGATGATTTGGAATGCAACAGTATAAATATTGTATGACTTATTTCCTTTGAACAAAATATTTATCTTTGATAAGTAAATTTTAAATTAATGCTCTTTTTATTGAAAATTGTGCATTTTTTTATAATCAATGGAAATAATAATAATAATAATAATATTAATAATATTAACAATTTTTTATAAATATTACTAAGCTAACTATGTACTTTTAAATTTTAAAGTAATTGTAATTTTTAACTAGCTTATAAACTATTATTAATTAGTGTTCTTTTTATTGAAAATTGTGTGTCTATTTTTATTTTAATTGCATAATCAATGAAAATAATAATAATAATCATATTAACAAATTTGTTATAAATATTAATCAGCTAACTATGTATTTTTAAATTTTAAATAATTGTATTTTTAACTAGCTTATAAGCTATGTTTGGCATGTTTATTTATATTAGCTGAACTTTTCAGCCATAAGCCATTTATATTAGCTGAACTTTTCAGCCATAAGCCATAAACTATCAGTTAGGTTTACCAAACACACAACCTAAATAAGGCTAGATGAACAGGTAAAACGGATTGTCTTACTCAAAAGGCATATTAGAATGATAATGCAATGCAGAGGGAAAATACACTCACTGGTACTATTAATTACCTTCATAGCAGTTTCAACTGAAATATAATTTTAAAGTGCTATTAAATGTGATGAGTCACTTAACCAGTTGTCACATTCAATAAAATAAAAGCCATTGGTAGCAAGCCCTGTAAAACTCTTATTCCTCAATTCCACTTGTCACCACATGTAAATGAAATCCCAGAAAAGTTGCATATATTGCTCATAGGTACATAAATATGGTAATCTCAACAGTATAGCATATACTGTCATCTATTTTCCATTCTTTTGCACTCAGGAACAAAACATCAACTTCTAAAGTGCACTAGAAGATTCACTGAGCAACTGGGAAATCAGGAATCCAAAGATAGAAAAGCCAACAAAGTCTTCTTTGGCATATAATTTATACAAGAAAGCCATAATAATTAGAAAAAGAATCATCACAGGCAACCTCCGAAAAAAAAAAGAAAAAAAAAAATTAGGACCCTGGTCAGAACAAGAAATCATCAACCAGTTCATCTACGAGACAAGTCAGTATCTTTTCCTCTATCTCGATGCTTTCCTCAAAACCCTCAGATTCAAAATCAACCCATTTCCCTTCTTTAGAGCTCATATCTCTGTTCACAAGCTCGTCCACCATCATCTCCTCATCATTCGCCAGACTCGATATTTCTCTATACAAACCATCGGCCAAAAACTGTCGTTTTTGCACGAGTGTCGTCTGCTTAACCCATAACTTATGGCTTCCAGCAAGAAGTCCACTGTAACTGGCCTGAAAGCATTCACAGACATAGTCGAATAACACCTTGCGCTCGAGCATGTCTTTTTCCGTGTCCTTGTAAAAATATCTGTTTTTATTTTCCAGCTGGTCAAAGAGTTCGGGAGCTATTATCCTGTGAGCTCGGCCAAGCGCGAATTCTTCCAGCAAAAGTTCTGCACCGTTTAGTACGTCTCTTATGTACTGTAGTTCCCAGTGAGAGCAATCTTCTGATTCTATGGTTCCATATAAAGTGGGGCCCGCAGTTTGATGTAAAAAGCTAACTGAAAGCGAGGAGGCTGTATCGGATATCATGCCTTCATAAGACCCAGAAGATGGTAATGTGAATATAATAATTCATAGAAAAAGTAACATCTACAGATTATCCAGGGAAAGTTGTGTAAATATATTATATTTTCGATTTAGAAGTTTTTATGTTTTTGATTCTTTCAGTTCTGACAGAAGAAAACTTTTTACCTTCGTTACTTGAGCTTCTGTCGACATCAGATGAGTCAGAAGTAGCAGCAGACAGTGAGGGCCTTGAAAATGAAACAGGACCTTGCGAATCAAAGTTACTGTTATTATCACCAACTATATCAACGAACGATGGCAGTCCCTGGAGATCGAGCGAAGTTAGCAAGCTATTAATGTGAATTTTCTATTTGTATGGAGTGAAGTTAACACTGAATTTATGCTTCAAGATTCAATTTGAGGTAGGTTATTATACCCTGTGTCTTAGGCTTCTAATGATATTTCAAAAGGAAGAAATTGAACTAAACTTTCACTACTTGATACAGAAATATAAATAGGAGCACGGATAGCCACACAGATATCATGTTTGTTTGTGTTTTTGCTCTCAACAAAATTATCCATCTCATTTCATGTTCCACATAAAACACAAGACACATCAAAACAAAATTGGATGTTTAAAGTTCATCTTGAAAACAAACCCTTCTTACATGAAATTGATTCTCAGTTTATGTTTCTGAGTAAATGCATCGGAGCAGGTCCAACAAACTGAAAATCGAGTATTTAATCCAAAATATGCCTGGTCAATTTATATTGAGAAAGACAAATTGTCACCAGTGACTGGACCATGCTCACTTAATACTAGAGTTACACCTCACACATACACTCATGAAATAATACAGCCGCAAATGAGGTTTTCTTCTCTTCCATGACATAGTAAATGAGTATGAAACACTTTAAAATGGTTAGCTACTAGGGAAAATGATGAATTATTAAAATACATAAGAGGTTGGCTATTTGATAAAATCAGGAAGCACACAGATATTGCAATCATGACAAGCCAAAGCAAATTGTTTGGAGACAATAGACTTGGTTATAATTTGGTCTTCCGAACCCTAACTAAAGACAATAACAGAAGAAAGATCATGTTCCTTTAAAACTAGAACATTGTCTAGACAAATATTTAATACCAAAAGGCTTCTTTAGGCCAAATTTTAAAATTAAAAAATCAACTTCTTTACATTTCTTCTTCAAAAGCTGAAGAATTAAATCATGTTCTAATCATTCTCCCAGCTAAAAAGAACTAAATGATAATTACAAAGACATGGATACCCAAAAATAGATCACCAATAAAAAGTAGTACAGAAAGTGAAGTACCTTCTTCTCCTTTTCAACTTCCAGCCCATGCTGATCAACAGACGAGCAATCAGAGTGAAACTGGATTTCACATTTACTTTTGCATGTATCAATATCCGAAGGCAGGGGCTTTAACAAGCTTAGGGTACTTGTGTTACCACAACTGTTGACAGAATTAGAAAGGGAACCCACTTCCGACAAGTCCTGGGACATTCCAACCCTAGAAGCCAACTCTTTCAGTTTTTGCTCCAAAAGCACACTCAAAGCATCTCCTCCTACATTAAAACCCAACGGCATCTCTGCAGAACTTCTGAAGTCAGCTTTATGTGCAAATGTATTGCAGTCGGGAGAATACGAGCTACTTGCTTCCAAGCCCGTGCTGCATAAACTTGATCCACCGCCAGACTTTTTTATAGGAGACGTAAATGTGAATGACACAACATCCGAGCTATTATCCTTCCTCTCAAGTTCGTCCCACTTAGAATCACCTTTGAATTCAACATTAGCTTCACTAGGCTTTTCAACTTGAATTTGCTCTGTATTCCTATTGGCTGTCATTTTTCTCTTTGATGAATTCATCTTTCCGCTCGATGACAAGATCTCTTTTCCAGGATCAGCCACCACAAAATTTGTCTTCCTGAATGACACCACATTACTGACAACAATCTTGTTCACAGTCCTCTTTGCTCGATCGTTTACATAACTATTGGCTGACAAACTCGATTCCTTTCCTTCCTTGGAGGACCCTAAGGTCTCATCCTCTACAGAGAACGCACGATTCTGCTTCTGATTATTCTGCCTCAGTGCTTCTTGATTCCTTCTCGATGAAGGGGTTTTCATCTCCGATTTCTTTTGCATATTTGGAGGATCTTTTGGCTTCTCAGAGCTTCTATTGGCCAAGGAACTCGACCCATCTCTTCTCTTGATGTTGGTCTTTGCCTGAACAGCAAAGGACCCTTGCTTTTCCTTGGTCTTTGACCTTTGAGAGAGAATGGACCTTTTCGACTCCTCAGATGAACCCCTGGGCACACAGCTGTCCTGGGACCGGCTTTTGCCTCTAGTGTCAACAGGCTTCTTCGGATTTGTAAAAATTTGATCTTTGCTCTTCTCAACCAGTCGAGATGGCCTCCGGGAAGCAGCCTCCACCTTCACCTTCATGTCCTGAACCCCAAAAGGAACAGAAGAAGAACCGAGTGATGGGAAACGAGAAACTTTGGAAGCTGACCGTGGGCTCTGCTCGATTATCTTGGCAGCTGCCTCAATTATGTAAGCCGCGTTTCTAGGAGGGATGAACCCAGGGCCCTTTATGGGGGACAGAAGCCGATTGTGAGCAACAGAAATGGGCTTCGCAAATTTGGGAGGCAAAACCTCCGTCTGAAATCTCTCCAGATGGCGGCCTCTCATGTCCAGAGGGTTCCTACTAAACCCATCCAATTTATTCCGCATGCTCTCAATTATCACGATGTCATGTTGTTCGCCTTGGAATGCAGCAGCAGAATCTCTAGAGGAGTGAGATTCGATGAATGAAGGGGTAAAACAGGGCTCATTGATCTTTGAAGAGGGCAAAGAGTCGAGGCCCATGAGTCGGGCCACGACCCCGGGTGGTTTTGTCCCGTTTTCAGAATCACTATTGGCCGAGGAAGCATAATGGTAGCCTTTTTGACTTCTGGGATCTGTAGGAAACCCT